TCATGTTGCTGCTGATCTGTTTCAATGTTGATGTGTTCATGCGTGCACATCTGCTCACAGACTCATGTTCATGTTTGTGCTGATGTTCAATGTTTTATGTAATGAGTGCTTAGTGTATATTTAGTTGATGTTTTTCTTAGTTCATATCTTAGATGTTATTACTGTTTTTCTTAGACATTTTATTGTTGGATGTAACTGGGACCCCGTGTACATAATTTCGCTCCACCACATGTACCACATGAGGTGCGAATGACAATAAAGAAACTCTGACTCTGACTCTTTTTTACATTATCATTACTATTTTAGAATATCTTGATAATCAAAGTGTGTTTAGTTCATACCACTTCTAATGTTGAAGTGAACCACTCGATTAAATCTACTGTGAAACAATATTCATGATTTTTAAACCTCATTAGATATGGAGATCAAGTTAAATGTCTATTTACAAAGTAATTGTGCATTTTGATCTTCTGTCTGAATGAGTGGATTTGATGTCGGTCAGAAGTCAGGGATGTCGGTCAGAAGTCAGAAAGCAAGTTATGAGAACGAAGTGCCTTGTTTTAAAACTCAGCAGACAGTAAATAAGAAGCTGGCACCTGCAAAGTTTCTCACGTCTTCAAAATATTTTTCTACGTCTGTACTAACCGTTCCTAAACATTCCTGCCGTCTTTTGACTTTTAATAACCCTCTGACATCACTGAAACACCGCCCCTGCTGGTTGTTTCAACCAATCAGGAAGTACCAAGTACAGAAAGTGAGTACTCTTTAAAAAGTGAACACTTCCTGGGACTATTCAGTCTTCCTTGAGTCTATGAAGTCTTCCCAGGAGTCTTCCACTTCTGAGTGGAATCTCTGACTGGAGTCTTACTGAGAGTTCCTAAGGAACTTTCAGATTTAATCAATAGCTGATGGATTTGACTGTGAGACGAGGGTCCGTCCATCCCAGCGGAGTCACAGCGCCTCGCTGTGAACTCACCCGGGCGTAACGCCCTACAACTTCAAAGGAAGCTTGTTCTGTTGAACGGAGAAAACCACACGACTTCTGACGATGACCAGTCGCTTTAACCGGAGACGCTGTAAAGGGATCATACTAATGGACTTCTGTTCCGGAGTGGAGGTATCCCCCATCTAAGGTAACAAAGTCTCTGCATGTCCTGAAGTGTACCGGAAAGCTGAGCAGGGTGTTGAAAGAAGAGTGCTAATTCTGGTCAACAAACATACATCTTCCTTCATCCATCTTCCTTTTAAATCTATTCCTTCTCTTAAACTTTTCTATTTACCAGTAATCTAGATGCCTTCAGAGGTGAATCAGCCTCAATCAGTAATGTTTTGTTGTCTTGTTAGTAAAGCGTGCCAAGTTTTTATTAATCAGAAACAGATCAGCAAATCAATGCGTACATGTTTTGATGTTAAATTTTGATTCCGTTGACCGCATTGACCGCATTTACTCTGATGGGTCAAAAATAAAATGGCATCTCATGTCACTGATTAAACAATCCACTCACAGTTATCTTGGTCACATGGCAAAAATTTAACTAGAAAAAGAAAGAATCCGTTGTAATTAACAATTAATATTCTTTGTGCTTGAACTAGCTTTAAGAATAATTAATTAGTAGTGTGTCTACAGCAAAGCTGTCCTGCATCACTACACAGGAAAAAGGCAAAGAGGAAGACCAAAGAGGAGATATATGGATGCAGTTAGAAAGGACATGAAGGTAGTTGGAGTGAGAACAGAGGATGCAGAGGACAGAGTGAGGTGGAGGAGGATGACTTGCTGTGGCGACCCCTGATGAGAGAAAAGCCGAAAGAAGAAGAAGATGGGCGAGACAAGACTGTTCATGGAAGGACTAAAGGATGGATGGACAGAGGCTATACGATAATATGTACACCTTTCAGCCAGCGTATGAAAACTGATGGAAAAAAATACAAGAGGTACATAAACATACGAACTGTATTTTAAAAAAACTAAACATTGTGCACAAAAAGACACAAAAACGGGCACAAAGTTGTGTTGAACCATCACAGCAGTGCTACTTGAAAAAAAACTAGGTGAAGTTGTAGAGAGCAGAGGAAGCAGCAGGCTGACCTGTCTGATGGTCCTGGCCACCAGGCTCTCCAGCACTGGTCCTCGGTCTTCATGTAAAAGGTGAACTTCATCCAGGATGAGGAGCCGAACAATTTGGGATAGAGCCACATCTCCAACACTCTTCCTGGTCACCACATCCCATTTCTCTGGAGTAGTCACCAACATCTAAAACACATACAGAGGATGTTAGCTACTAAAAATCAGGCTGAAACTAACAGGAGATCGAGCCTTTTCAGTCATGGGCTCTAAACTCTTAACAATCTGCCCATCAACATTCGACATGTCTCTTGGTCACTTCAGTCTCTGCTTTTAAATCACTCCTTAAAACACATCTGTACTCATTGACTTTTAACACGGAGTGATCTCATTTACATTTAGGTTTTTTTTTTTATTGATTCTGATTGGGAGCACCACGGTGGAGGAACTGGTAGAGCTGCTGCCTCTCAGCGAGCAGATCCCTGGTTCAAATCCTGGTCCGGGGGCCTTTCTGGGTGGAGTTTGCATGTTCTCTCCATGCTCCGTGGGTTTTCTCCAGGTACACTGGTTTCCTCCCACAGACCAAAAACATGCATGTTAGGCTGATTGGTAACTCTAAATCATCCCTAGGTGAGAGTGAGAAAGTGAATGGTTGTCTCGTTTGTCTCTATGTGTCCCTGTGATGGACTGGAGACCTGGCCAGGGTGTACCCCACCCCTCGCATAGTGATTGCTGAACATGGGCACCAGTGATACTCTTGACCTGTAAAGTAAGAAGTGGGAAAAGAGGATGGATGTTAAAGAGTTCCATTTTTAACCACATTTGGAAAATGTTTAAAAAGATGGATGGATAGATGCATGAATGAAAGGATGGATGGATGAATAAATGTTTTTATGAGAAAAATTAAGGCAACTAAGCTAAACATCCATCCATTCTCTTCCGCTTATCCGGGGTCGGGTCACGGGGGTAGCAGCCTAAGAAGGGAGGCCCAGACTTACCTCTCCCCAGCCACTTGGGCCAGCTCTTACAGGGGAATCCCAAGGCCTTCCCAGGACAGCAGAGAAACATAGACCCTCCAGCGTGTCCTGGGTCTTCCTCTGGGTCTCCTCCCGGTGGGACGTGCCCGGAACACTGCACCAGGGAGGCGTCCAGGAGGCATCCTACCCAGATACCCGCGCCACCTCAACTGGCTCCTCTCGATGTGGAGAAGCAGCGGCTCTACTCTGAGTCCCTCCCGGATGACCAAGCTTCTCACCCTATATCTAAGGCAGAGCCCAGACACCCTGCGGAGAAAACTTATTTCGGCCGCTTGTATCCGAGATCTCGTTCTTTTGGTCACAACCCAAAGCTCGTGACCATAGGTGAGGGTAGGAACGTAGATCGATCGGTAAATTGAGAGCTTCGCCTTTTGACTCAGCTCTCTCTTCACCACGACAGACCTGTACAATGCCTGCTTCACTGCTGATGCTGCACCTATCCACCTATCGATCTCACGCTCCATTTGTCCCTCACTCGTGAACAAGACTCCAAGATACTTAAACTCCTCCACTTGGGGTAGGACCTCCTCCCTGACCCGGAGAGGGCAATCTACCCTCTTCCGGCTCAAGACCATGGCTTCGGATTTAGAGGAACTGATCTTCATCCCGGCCGCATCGCATTCGGCTGCAAACCGCTCCAGCGAAAGCTGTAGATCATGATCTGATGAAGCCAATAAGACCATATGATCTGTAAAAAGCAGAGACGCAATCCTAAGGCCACCAAAACAGTTCCCCTCAACACCTTGGCTGCGCCTAGAAATTCTGTCCATAAAAGTTATGAACAGAATCGGTGACAAAGGGCACCCTTGGCGGAGTCCAACTCTCACCGGGAACAAGCCCAACTTACTGCCGGCAATGCGGACCAGGCTCTGACACCGGTCATACAGGGACCTAACAGCCCATATCAAAGGGCCCGGTACCCCATACTCCCAGAGTACCCCCCCCCCCAGGGTTCCCAGAGGGACGCGGTCGAACGGCTTCTCCAAGTCCACAAAGCACATGTAGACCGGTTGGGCAAACTCCCACGCACCTTCCAGGACACTGCTGAGAGTGTAGAGCTGGTCCAGTGTTCCACGGCCAGGACGAAAACCGCACTGCTCCTCCTGAATCCAAGGTTCGACTATCCGACAGACCCTCCTCTCCAGAACCCCAGAGTAGACCTTACCAGGGAGGCTTATGAGCGTGATTCCCCTGTAGTTGGAACACACTCTACGATCCCCCTTTTTGAATAGGGGGACCACCACCCCGGATTGCCAATCCAGGGGAACTTCCCCCGATGTCCACGCAATATTACAGAGTTGCGTAAGCCAACACAACCCTACAACATCCAGAGCCTTAAGGAACTCCGGGCGAATCTCATCCACCCCTGGGGCCCTGCCACCAAGGAGCTTTTTAACTACCTCGGTGACCTCAGCACCAGAGATTGGAGGGCCCGACCCAGAGTCCCCAGGCTCCGCTTCCTCAGTGGAAGACGTGCCGGTGGGATTGAGGAGGTCTTCAAAGTATTCCGCTCACCGACACACAACATCCCGAGTTGAGGTCAGCAGCAGACCACTCCCACTATAAACAGTGTTGGTGGTGTACCGCTTTCCCCCCCGAGACACCGGATGGCGGACCAGAATCGCCTCGAAGCCGTGCAGAAGTCATTCTCCATGGCCTCTACGAACTCCTCCCATGCCCGAGTTTTTGCCTCATCGACCACCCGAGCCGCATGTCGCTTGGACTGCCGGTGCCCATCAGCTGCTTCCGGGGTCCCACAGGCCAAAAAGGCTCGATAGGACTCCTCCTTCAGCCTGACAGCATCCCTCACTGACGGTGTCCACCATCGGGTTCGAGGGTTGCCGCCGCGACAGGCACCGACAACCTTGCGGCGGCAGCTCCGGTAAGCCACCTCGACAATAGAGGCACGAAACATGGTCCACTCTGACTCAATGTCCCCCACCTCCCTCGGAACATGTTCGAAGTTCTCCCGGAGGTGGGAGTTAAAACTCTGTCTCACAGAAGACTCTGCCAGACGTTCCCAGCAAACCTTCACAATACGTTTGGGTCTGCCAGGTCTGACCGGCTTCTTCCCCCACCATCGTAGCCAACTCACCACCAGGTAGTGATCAGTGGACAGCTCAGCCCCTCTCTTCACCCAAGTGTCCAAGACATGGGGCCGCAGATCAGATGAGACGATGACAAAGTCGATCATCGAACTGCGGCCTAAGGTGTCCTGGTGCCAAGAGCACATATGGACACCCTTATGCTTGAACAAGGTGTTCGTTATTGACAATCCATGACGAGCACAGAAGTCCAACAACGGAACACCACTCTGGTTCAGATCAAGGGGGCCATTCCTCCCAACCACACCCCTCCAGGTCTCAATGTCATTGCCCACATGAGCATTGAAGTCCCCCAGCAGAACAAGGGAGTCCCCAGGAGGTGCACTTTCCCGTACCCCCTCCAAGGACTCCAGAAAGGGTGGATAATCTGAACTGCCGTTTGGTGCATAAGCACAAACGACAGTCAGAACCTGTCCCCCACACATAGGTGGAGGGAGGCCACCCTCTCATTCCCCGGGGTGAACCCCAACACACAGGTACCAAGTTGGGGGGCAATAAGTATGCCCACTCCTGCTCGGCGCCTCTCACCAGGGGCAACTCCAGAGTGGAAAAGTATCCAGCCCCTCTCAAGGAAACTGGTTCCAGAGCCAGAGCCATGCGTAGAGGTGAGTCCGACTATTTCTAGCCGGAACCTCTCAGCCTCACACACCAGCTCAGGCTCCTTCCCCGCCAGTGAGGTGACATTCCACGTCCCAATAGCCAGCTTCTGTAGCCTAGGATCAGACCGCCAGGGTCCCCGCCCTCGGCCACCACCCATCCCACATTGCACCCGACCCCTTTGGCCCCTCCCAAAGGTGGTGAGCCCATGGGAAGGGGGACCCACGTCATTGTTTGCCCGGCCGAGCTCCATGGGTAAAAGCCCGGCCACCAGGCGCTCGCCCGCGTGTCCCACCTCCAGGCCTGGCTCCAGAGTGGGGCCCTGGTGACCCACGTCCGGGCAAGGGAACACTAGGTCTGTTTATTTTTCTAATCATCGGGGTCTAAAAAAGTTAAATCTGGTTCTCTGGACATTCAAAAAAAAAAAAAAAAAGCAAAACAACAAAAAAATGTAGAAACATTTCGTCTCTCATCCGAGAGACTTCCTCAGTCTGAGGTGCTGTATTCAGCTTAGTCTCTTAAATAGCACCATCTCAGAGTGGATCAACCAGTTTTGCTGCTGACAACCAAAACCGGCTGATCACATGCTCAAGAAGGACCATCAGCCTAACAATGGATCATTCTCACCTGGACATGGGCACCAGCGACCCCCGTGACCCAAAATGGAATAAACGGGTAAAGATAATGGATGGATGGATATTCAAAGGTGACGATTTGATGTCCACATTAAAATTAAATGACTGTAACTTCGTTGACTTCAAATGCAACAAGATGATCAATGAATGTTCGAGACAAAGATTACTTCAAGAAACCTCCCATTTTAAATCATAAAACCAGAATGACTTCTGCTCATTCTAAATTTGTCCAATGGCCTAATCTCCTAAAGTGAAGGAGAATCATTTTAAATAATAAATAAGATATATCCTGTAGCCGTTTCTTGAAATAAGATTTAAATTTGAGGTTGATTTGTGTGCCTTTTGTAAATCAGACGATAAATCCATCGAGCATTTTTTATTTTATTTTTTCATGTCAATACAAAGTGTTTGGTCAGACATCAGAAACTGGATTAATCTCAAACTTAACATTCCTTCTTTTCATGCTGATTCCATTTTACTTTATGTGGATAACTGAAGCTCAGCTTTCTCTGATACTATAAATATTGTCATACTTATAGTACCACATTCACTGTAGTAAGAGGAGAGATAATAAGCCCTCCTTCCAGTTTTATGAACCATTTTAAGTCATAATATTCTTCATTAAGTAATTAAAAAACTTCAAAAGTGCTAGAATCATCTCACAACAGATAAAACTTATTGTTTTA